TTTACCATATACATTATTTCGAGAACTATACATGAAAACTTATCGTACTACAATTATGTATTATATTCGATTGCCATCATGCAACCATATTGCGGTATATAAAAATCGCAATAAAAAAATAGGGGTTGACCGTAAAAGCGTGAAAATTTGAATGTGTATGTATTTTTCAATGATAAATCATAATAAATAAAAAATAAAAAAAATTAACAAAAAAAAATTAAAAAAAAAAAATATTAAGGGTGGGTCATCCTTATCATTGAGGAGTATGAAAAATAGATGTTGGCCGATTCTCAGACCTACCCAATATGCACACGAAATTTCATAAATATTGGTAAAGCCGTTTCGGAGGAGTTTGGTAACAAACACCGCGACACGAGAATTTTATATATTAGAGATATATATATAGCCGAAGATTCGAGACTTCAGGCATACATATATATATATATATATTATCCAAAAAAATTCACCAAAATTAAGCAGTAAAAGCACTTATTAAAAATTATCATTCTCTCTTTCGTCCATCTTATATTTCAAGTTTACCAATGAATAATTTAAATATAAAATTTGTTTAAAAACATATTCAAATCAAATACAAAAGAATAAAAAGTTTTTCTGGTAAATTTAAAATAATAATCGCCTCAAGCTGACATTCTGACATAAATAAATATTGTACAAATAAATAAGAACCCCTATTTTGCACAAATAATAAAATTTCTCGTTAAAAAAAAAAGCACGAAAGGAAAAGTCAAGCGTGACAAACAGCCGGCCATTTTGTGCAGCGCTTTCGCAAAATTAATCTTGGCCAACAAAAACTATGCCTTATTAGAGAAAATCCTGCCCCAGGACAAACCCTAATATCCTTAGATAAACACGGTTATGTATGCCTACGATTAATAATAATTTTAGGGGTGCAAAAAGTGTCCGGTCGCGGTTGAGGGGTTTTTGTCGGAGGCGACTTTTTGCTCGTAACGACATTTCGTTGTGGGATTTTAAGAAAATTAGTTTTACTACAATATTTTATTTAACATCGCTTTCCATTCTACTTTTAAACAAATTATACAGACAGTTTTATAATTTAATTTAATTATTTTATTATGTTTTATATTTAATTTAATTTATTCTAGCTACATTCCAATACTTCTCACACGTGTATCAGTATACAAAATATCCTATGTTTAAATAAGGAAATAAAATATATGTGTAGCAAATTTCTTTCAATAGCTTTTGTGCGAAAGAGTATCCATACATTCTCACAAACTTCCATATTTTTAATATTAATAATATAAGATATATTTTTATTAATAATCTATGATCTACAATGACTTCTTTTAACTTTTAAATCTATCAAAAATAGTACACAAATAGTAATACTCAATACGTTATTCAAAAAGGTTAACTTCATTTAAAAAATTAGGTAGTACTTATCTTAAATGTTGTCGGATTAATTTCCTTTATCATACAATTTAGGGGTTTACGTGTACAAGCGGTCACTCAAAATTTGACATAAGAGATGCCCCTTGTTTCTAAAGCACAGCTAATCCCTGCACCGAACATACCTTCTCACAAATAATTACTAAATGTTTTTGAATAAAGAACATTAAAATTCTTAATATCCAATTCGAATTTTAAAAATATTTTCAAATAATTATTTACTTTTATTTAATTTTATATTATGTTGGTACCACATTCATTTGATTTTAAATTTAAATTATTTTTTTTAGAACTCCCGCCAATTAACGCTTTGAATGAATTTTTCTATAGAAAAATGCTAAGATTAAGTAAAAAAATAAAATAGTTTTGTGTGTTCCTTGTAGCAAACTATGTTGAAAACTTACGTTCAGCGGTGGACAGTTAACTGCTAATACGACGATGATATTTAGAAAAACGGAATAACATTTTAACGATGTTTGTCTTCACCTATTACTGTATATGCAAATTATGTTCGCGTCTTCTTAAATTTAATTTTGATTTACAATTAATCTAAGCATTATAATCAACGACGGCATATCAAAACCGCTGTTATCTTCACTGCCATTAATCATAATCTTGATTTTAAATTTAAATTACTTTAATTTGAACATTAACATTATAACCTGCTGAGTTTATCAAAAGTCGGCTTTTAAACCAACTTTAAAAGTGTGTGTAAACACTTTTATCGTTGATATTTTTTTTATTTTTCTTATTTTGTTTATATTATGAACAATGATTTTGTTGAGTTTTTAGGTTGATTAGTATGGTTCTTTTTATGAAGTCCTACCGAAATCTAACTTTATAAATATAATATATACATACATACATATACATATATACTATATAATAATTCATAAGCTACTAGTACTCTGGCCTAGCTAGAGAAATAGGGAATCTATCCATAAGGTCTTTTTTTTAATGGGTGAAAATGAAATATTTAACCCCATTATGCCCGCGCTATCGGTATATATTTTATCGGGGGGTCACCAGTGAAGGATGATTTTAGGTGAGAATGAATGCAGGTCAGTTGGCCCGCCATGATGAATTCGACAAAAATTAACTATGATGGTTTCCAGGGGGAACCGTGTGGAGGTCGACCTGAGATATTGTTAGCAAAGGGGCTATTAAACCTAATTACTAACAGTCCCTTTCCCCCCTATCCGTAATGACTAAATATGAATACGTTGACTTACCGGGATAAATCTATCTCCATCATATGTAGTACGTATAAACAAATTTTATGATAATTGGTTAAACACCGAAAGCTACCAAATAAACTAATTTTCACATTTTTTTTATACAACTTAAAACAGCAAACAAACAGACGGCCCACCTGATGGAAAGTGGTAACTGTCGCCAATAAACATGAGCGGTTCCATGAACATAACAGAGTATACTGTTTCGCCCATGATACCCTCCATGCGTTGCCATTCCTGAGGACTCAGATGTTATTCCTCTGTACCCAGTAAATTCACGCCATACTTCACCCTTCAAACCGAAACACAGCCATGCAAACACAACTGCTTCATGGTAGAAACATAAATGGGACAGAGGTACCCAAGCAATCGACTTTTGTACAAAGTCTCCCTCTGGTGATAAATAATATCTTCTACCATTTTGTAGCTGTTTTAATCTTTATATAAAACCGAAACGTTCTATAGCGTTTGCTTCTTAAAATACAACTTTTCGATAGACGATCATGTTTTTATTTCAATCTATACGAAGCAGACAAGCAACGGAAGATATTCTATTCGAGTCTAATTCACCACAGATTCCTCAGCGGTGAATCGATCCTTCACGAAGCCCTATTAAAAGTCAGCCACCACCTCGAATTTCCAACCTCATACCATTAAGTAGTGCTCCAAACTTTAATTATGTTCAGGCTGTGACCAATCGCGTTCGTGTCTCACATTTTCTTACAAGTCATGCAGCGTGCTACTGAATCGTATACCCCTGACGCTTGCTTCCGATCACCGACACACTCATTTCCACCTCTAACACCATGACAATAAAGCCCCTATTCGTCTACATCCCAACTGTTATTATTAACGTTCTGTAAAATCAGTTTCTCGTCAACCAGAAACCAACCGTCGTCATCAACGAGCGATGATGTAATTTGAACTCTATTTAGTTTCAATTGAAGATTAATATCAGAATGATTGCGATTATAAAATTTGTTCGTGGCATTCAAATCGAGTCGTGCATCAGCGGCAATAGATTTTGGTGCCCGAAGGAACGTGGCCACTCCATTGTTGATGAATAAAATCTATCTCTAGGATGACGAGTCAGTTTTAGCAAGAAACTAATTTGAAGTATCACAATGAATGCCAATGGTGTACAGAAACAGTCTTTTCAATGTGCGAAGAGTGGCTTAATAGCATACTCTGTTGGCACGTGTGCTTCGGTCTGTCTATTCAAATAAGTCTTAGGGCTTGACTCTTTAAAATGGGATTTTGATGACGGCAGCCTGAATGCTGATGTTAATTTAACAGATTTTATGTATGACGAATTGATACTTAGAGCGTTGCCTGTTTGACTATTAATGCACGTACTTCAATATTGCAGTGATAACTGAGTTATTTTGCAGTATACCAATGAGATACAGTCATTGTAGAGTCGTTAAAAAAATAGTTCATTACTTACTTATAACTTGTCAATGATAATTTAATAAACTTAGATGTCGATCGATATTACTTATTTTACATATTTGTCAATTCCAGTAATCAAATTTTATATTAGTACCTTTAAATATATTTCTTTTTAAAAGTTTATCAGAATATCCATTACAACCCAAAATCTTACGTCATTTTCTTTCATATTAAAAAGTTGTCTAGAAAGACAGAGATGACAGCTAAAATATTACTAAACGTTATAATTATATTGGCTAAACGTATGATATTTATTCGTATAGGTACTATTAACATTAAAAGATCTTGATTGCTCGCAAGATGATTGTCCGGGAAGTCTAATCACGTCGCGTGAAACCGTGACGTTGGCATCCTGCCTTTATTGCCTGCGTCTCCTGAACAAATAAAAAAAAAACGTTTGTTTTGCTCACAACGTAATTTGTTCCGGCTGCTGCGGATGTCGTTCAAGGGCAAAATTCACTTTCTGATAATTCTGATGATGATCTTTTTTAAGATGATTTAATCTAAACGTTTAAAGTACTTCGTAAACATCAATAACGTCAGTCAGTTGTAGGTTAAAAATTTTTAATAATCTACTTATGATCATTTTAAAAACATTAGTCCATTTTTTAGTAAACCGTCCTCAAATTCTGTTTTTTTTTTTTTACAATTTAGAAACCTTGGAATGGCTAATCAGCTGATTGCACTTAACGGAAAGTGGTAACCATGGTCTATAAACACATAAACGTTACATGAATAATTCTATGACTATTCCTGAAGTCTAATGTTCTATGCCCCCGTGTCGTAGTATTTTACTGTATATTCCTTCTTAAAACCTAAAAAAAAATGTTTTGTTCATGTAATAAATAATGTTATTAAATTTATTTTTTCTTTTAATTCCAGGTGTTCGGTTCCAAGGCAGATCTGCAACTGCACACCCAGATTCATCTGCGCGAGGCAAAACCTTACCGCTGTACTCAGTGTCCCAAAGCATTTGCCAACTCATCGTACCTGGCGCAGCACTCCCGCATTCACCTGGGTATCAAACCATACCGTTGCGAAATTTGCCAACGCAAGTTTACCCAACTATCACATCTGCAACAGCACATCCGTACGCACACAGGTGATAAACCATACCGTTGCACACAAATCGGATGCACCAAGGCATTTTCCCAGCTCTCTAATCTCCAAAGTCACAGCAGGTGCCACCAAACCGATAAACCCTTCAAATGTAACTCATGCTACAAATGCTTTACCCACGAAAAGGATTTGTTGGAACATATCCCCAAACATAAAGAATCAAAGCACTTAAAAACGCACATTTGTCAGTATTGCGGCAAAAGTTACACTCAGGAGACGTATCTAAGTAAGCATATGAATAAGCATGCTGAAAGAGCTGATAAGCGACCTCCTATATCTGCATTGGGACTGAGTGGCTTGAACAGGTCAATAGCTGCGGCTGCACCGACTGCTGCACCCTTCGCTGAGCATCCTTATTGGCCGAAAGTCAGCCCTGACTCTGCGGCGCATATGTCTGATGACGGCGGCTACCATCAACAACGCGAGAGCGATGATCACCACGAACAACATTTACAGCAACAGAGGGCGTTATTCGCTCAACACGAGAGCCAAGATGATCGTATTCAGCCGCCGGTTTCTTCAGCAGCGAATTCGGCATTCACGCCAATAAACTCCATGGCACCGCACCTAAATGGTCTCTCCCACCATAGTCCCTTGCCGACGAGACCATATCTGTATGATCCACTGCACTTTCAGCAAGGGAAACAGCAGCCAAATTCCTTTCCTAATCAGTTGATATCCCTTCACCAGATTAGGAATTATGCTCATCAGCCTTCGGCATTGCTGCCGGCCGAGCATATTTTGCCGCACGCTCTATCCCACAAAGACAAACAATAGAAAAAAATCCTTGCCGTTTATCCTAAGTACACGTACTCTAGTACTTACAATGGTATTATTAGTCTATAAAGTAACAAAATATTATCAAAATGTTTAGAATCTCGCTCTCGACGCCAGTGGTATTAATGAATGTATGAAATACGAAATTGATTTTATTGTTAGTGAAACGAATTCATGTTTTTAGACTTAAACGTGTATGAATACTCTAAAATTTTGTGAGTAGATAAAATACTGGTTATACAATGTGATTTCAAATATACTGTAACAGTGTTTTACTTGTTATGGATTAGTTTTCTGAAGACATTCTTTCTGTTATTTGGGAACATGCTGTGTCGACAATTATTGAAATTTGAAAGCCAAAAATTGTGTTACCTCATAACCATAATTGTTGCTCAAGACTTTGTTCCAAGTTATTATAAATATTGCTGTTTTCAATAAGACTAATCCTTAACATGGATATTATCTTAAACTCTTTGGCTAAAGGCCTATTTATGTTAATTCCTTCAAAGTTTATACCTCACAGAATTGAAAATTCACACTTTATTTTCTAATTCCAGTTCTAACAAGTTTGTTGAATCAAATTGGAATTAATTCAGTAACCATATTTCTAATTGTTTTTATGCCTTAAAATAATTTGTAAACATTGGTCTCATTTGTGACAATATTTTTAAATTGTATAATAAATTTTTGTTTGATAATTTTTTCTTTAAGTAATGCAAATTTGGCACAACCATTCATATTCTTAACGCATAAACATAAATAAACATTATAATATATCCAGTGTTATTTATTTTGGACGAGATTTCTTAGTTATTACAGTAATCTAAAAGTTCCTGATATACAAAATATTTGTAATAGTTTCAATGCCACGAAATGTAGAAATTTTGAAATCACTAGTACTGTCTCTTTCTGTTGCATTTTTATCTTATAAGAATATATCTATACTGAACACAGATCTCTTAACATCACATTTGCACTCAGTTCCTACTTAGATCATACATTTTATTATTTTAGCTTTATTTCAACATCTATCTTATGATCATTAGGTATTTTATGTTTTATATCTAGAAAATGTGTTTCCCCTTGGTCATTTTATAGTTCATAAACATAATTTAACAACGGTTGAGGGTCGAACATATTTTCTATTTGAATAAATTTAAATATTTTCTATTTGTATAATACATTATTGAGTGGCCAAATCACTATCATTCACATTGGGTACGAAGAATGGCGCACTTTGTACATAATATGTAAATACGAGACATTTTTGAGAAACCTTGGAATTTATCGAAATGTTTTTTTTTTTTTTTTTGTTTACTTAAGTCTAAAATGCTTATGCTCAATTATATTAGCCGTAAGACAGTTGTGGTAGCTATCGGAAATCAGACTTGTATTATAGTATCAATTGTTTCGAAAGTACTTAACGTTGGTCCATCGATCGCAATTGTGGTTTACATCGATTTAATTTTAGACTAATTTTTGATGTATACGAAATTGTTATTTTTGTTTTTAATAAATAATGAGAAGAAACACAATCAGTGTAGTAGAATAAAAATTAATGAAATGTGATAGGTGAAGAAACGGATGGGAGTGAACAATAATATTTTTTGAGGGAACGTACTTTCTTCATAATTGATTTTCTTTTAATTAGGTTTTAAATTTTGTTAGGTTGTGGTTATTTGTGGTGAGGTCGCAGTGTTCCCTGGAGACGTTGCTGGGTGACGTCGCGCCGTCACAAAGTTAGCCAAATGTTAACTTAAGTTCGTGTACAAATGGTTCCCTGTTTATAATATAATGTACGGCAATACTTAATTCTTCCGAATTGTTATTAAATAAAACAATATTAGAGGGTTCACTATTTAATATAACGAATTACATGACAATGAGCCAATTTACTCATGGATTTGAAATTTCAATGGTTTTTTAAGTTAATCGCCAATATCTCTCTATTATAAGTAGAAATGTGATATTGTAATTTGATTTTTTTTTTGTTAGTTAAGTGTAATTATTATGATTAAATAGATATTTTTGTAAGTAACCTTGTTTTATGATAGTTTCGCTTTATCTAGCGTTCTCGATTAAGTTTATTAGATGAAAATGACCGAAAACATTTTTTGTTACTTAAAATCGATTAAAATTACAACTACGCCAAGAATTCTCCTTGACTTTTATTTTACTTCTACCTTTTTAAATTACTAAATACATAATTCTTTTTACTACTCAAAATGAGACGTATATCGTCATAGTCGTGGAATACTGACGGATCTATATATAATATATCGTCATAGGAATACTGACGGATCTATATATGTAATATTCGTCAGATCCGTCAGTATTCTACGACTATGACGATATGTGTATTCAAACAATGCACATTAATATAGCTGTAAGTAGATCGTGTCTGTGAGGGTAGGTAATATATAGCAATATCTAATTATTGTAGTTACAATATGTATATACTAGTCCAATAACAGATATAAAATATCGGTTATCCAATATATAATATCTAAAAGAAGGACCCGCTCGTAATAAATATACATATCAGACTGGTATTGTCGATATCGAAATGTTTTTATTTTCTTTTATTTTAGAATGACAAACAATTTGACGGCCCACCTGATGGAAAGTGGTAACCGTTGCTTATAGACATGAGCAGTACCATGGACATAACAGAGTATACTGTTTCGCCCATGATACCCCCCATGCGTTGCCATTCTTGAGGACTCAGGTGTTATTCTTCTGTACCCTGTAAATTCACAGCCATATCCTGCCCTTTAAACCGAAACACACACAGCCATACAAATGCAAATGCATGCAAATATAACTGCTTCACGGTAGAAACACGAATGGGACAGAGGTATCCAAGCAAACGACTTTTGTACAAAGTCTCCCTCTGGTAAATAATAATAATAATAATGGGTGGTCAATAATGTCCAGAAAAACTAAATATATATGGTAGATATGAGATATTACCCATTGCTATGTGTCTATGCACGTAAACATAATCTATTGAACCAATTTTGATAAAATTTTGTGTAATCACATAGGACTTAACATTTAGAATACATTTCACTATATGAAAAAAAATGTATTCTTAAAAGAAAATATAAAAGTACTTGTGAAAAAATAAAAGAACTTTCTGAACTTTCCTCTTTTATTAAGTTAACAGTCGCAATACATTATATTATATTAAATACTTAAATTATATACCTATTTACAATATTTAGGGTCATTCTACCTACGTAGGTACATCATACAACACAAACCATACAGGAATTAGAAAGCAGATACGTTTTACGCTTACATTAAATATTATAAGACGCCATTTATTAGACGAATACTTGTGAAATAATATTCCTATAAAAAAATGGATCAACACATCATAATGTTACAAAAAAGATATAAGAATTAAATTATTCTTCTATGACTAGACTTTTAATTAAAAAAGAAGGCAGAAGAATTACAAAAGGGAACACATAAAAACAACAATTTAAACAAATTACTAAATAAATCGCGCCTTTTAATTTACTTATGAATAATAGGGAATATTTTAAATTAATACTTTTATATGTATTGTCATTTAGTCGCCCTAAACACTAAACGAGAATCATATAAAATGAATCATATATAATGGATTTATAAAAAATATAAAATACATATCTTTATGATAAGATACTTTCGTTGTTAGAATATAAAAATACTTGCAAGAAAATTGGATACCTAATAATGACATTTGATAATAAATAAAGATATAGGAACGGGAAAAATTTAACACGAGAAGGATTACAAAAAGATCTATCATTTTCCATACCGAGAGATCAATTATTGTCAATTTTAATGAAATCTTTTCGTAATCCTTGAAAGAAAATAAATATTAATCTATATATTGAGTGATGACAGCGCATGTAGATTCTCCAATTTTAATGTACACAATGAAATATGATCACAATGCTTATTGACGAAACGATAAATTAAATATTTTTTAAAGTCTTTCTCTAGAAAATTGTCCATTATTGCAAAATTAATAGTACACTTTACACGCATTAATAATGAAAACTCATTCCGCACATATCTAATTATCATAATATCTAAAGAATCTCCATTGTAATATATAAAAATAATTTATAATAAAAATAATGAATGCAATTTTATGGCACGCGAGTGTACAAGGGTATCCACGCTTTTTATGAAATATTATGAGACTGTTTTTGAACACGCTGTCATCTGCAGATGGTATCTTAGACTTCGACCTTGTATGGTGAACCGGGGATGTGTTCTTCACCCCATTTGATGATGACAATGTAGTCTCCCCTGTCTCTGACCACGTACCAACATTCATAGTTGTTCTTGCCCTTGTGTTTGAGCTGCACCTCGTCACAAGGACCCTTGGGGCCATAGATTCCGACGTATAAAATGTTATTGCCTGAAAAGGGGAAATAATGTAAGTGTTTAATACAACGTAAAATATGGTATATGCGCTGGTTGACACTACTACTCAAGTGTATGTATGTACTATGCAAGTGTCGCCTTCTAGCGTTGCGGATTCTTGCGATATAAAGATTCTTTAGTTACAGTACCCATTAAATTCACTAAATAGCATAGAAGCAAGTTGCTAGCTGATAGAATTAATAGGTGAAACATAAGTACCCCTCTATCTTTCTTAATACACATACAAAATTCCACTAGAGGGATAAATTTGACAACCTGCCTGGTGCAGTGATGGACACGTTGTTTGGTATAAATGAGATTCCGGATTCTAATTCCGGTCGAGCCAATTTAGAAAACAAACTTAAAAATTGACTTGGATCTATATTTTTTTGGGTTGTACCTCCAAGTGTACGTTGCCTGGCCCTTCATAACACGAGGAATCTTAACTTAAAGATCAGGCGATTAGTGTGATTTTATGGCACGTATTAAAGAGCGAGACCCACAGAAAAGGAAATGATGGCCCATTCTATGCCAGGACCACAAGACAACTAGGGAAAGATATGATCGTTAAGATGTCTTCTAAAACAACACCAAAAGCCAAACTGCGGTGACTAATCCACCTGCCAAGCGTGGCAACTACTGGCAAAATCTCCCAAATGGTAAACTGTTATAAGGAACCATTTTTTCCTTTCAGTCTATGAGGGAGGCCTATGCTGGTGTACAGTGGACAGGTAACGGCTGAAATGATGATGAAAGATGATTAAGACAGAATGACCTTATGTTTCTCTTTGAAAATCATTGTTAATTCAATATGGGTCAACTAACTTCATCCTCACCTAACGACTCTCACTCGTGGGAATCGACTTATACCAGAGCAGGCAGGGATACCATTCCATTTTCATCCTTAAAATACTCCTACAAATAAAAAAATCATTCTTACCCGCATCACCAGCGTGGACTGTGAACTGGTTATGCTTGTTCAGATAAGCCTTCTTCAGCCCCATGCCCTTAGAGGTGACTTTGGAAGCATCAGACTTGAAGTTCGGTAACACCGGACCCTGTTTCTGGCCAGACTTGGACACCTTCTGGACAGTTTCGACGGTCACCGATGACGTCTCTTGAGCGCCAACTTCAGCGATCTTGCCACCTGGAATTACCAATTATTGTCATTTGTAATCATCAAGGATAAAAAAGCTGATGTAGTAATAGTCTAATCATATAGCTTAAAGAACCAATAAAAAATAGTGAAAAGAAGGTCTTGAGTGACGACCCCGTATATGTAAACGCAGTTAACGATAACTTCCCACTAGATAGAGCTGTTACATCAAATATGTTACAGGAAGTCAGTACATTTAGGTGTCTTTAAAAGAACTTTTCCTTATGGAAATCTATAGAGAAAGGGAGAGGGATTGACAATAATGGAATAAATGACCTCTCTTTTATACAGCAACAAACCTTATTGCTATACAGCCTATCAGGTCGACCTCCATATGGGTCCCTGGAAACCATCGTGGTTAATTCCTGGCGAATTAATTACGATATGCTAATTAACCTTATTTCATTACTCTTTGCCAGCGTATACCAATAATGTAGGCAGAGTTACCATGTCATTTTCAGCACATGCCTAAAGCTTATGTTCAGTAGTAGATAATTACTGTCTGAAATGATGATGATGATGATGATAGCGTAATAATTTCAGCCATTTTAATTAAACTGCTATTAAAAATAGTCATGAGCCACCTGTCTGCAGCCATTGACTACCTGTGGCATGTTTAAATCATAAATAAATCAGCGAGTCTACCATGAACTGAAATTCCAAATTTTCGGACTCAATTTCGTGTTTTTGTTCGTCCCGAAATCGGACCAATAAATGGAGTTTAACATTTCGTTCGTCATACATCCTATCATAAAAGTCCAAAGAAACGATATTTTAACATTTTTAATATTTCCAAACGACATGTATTATGTAATTTTAACATCAAATTTGTTTCGTTTGACTCGGAAATTTCGGGAAACATTTCATGGTAGGCCCTCAGGTACATACGAGTTGTAACTACGATCACAGTTAAAATACTCTTTCCAACCAATATATATAAAATATCCAACCAGGTCGACCTCCTCGCGGTTCCACCTGGAAACTATCATGGTTAATTCCTGATGAATTCATCATGATAGGCTAACTGGCCTGTTTTCATTCTCATCTGTCACCCTTCACTGGTGCTCCGCCAGCGTATCCCGTTAGCGCGGGCGGGGTTGCCATGCCATTGTCACCCATAAAAAAAGACAATATGTCCCGAATTGTGATTTAATCGTTCGGAACACCCTATAGACATTGGTTCGATGGTTTCTTATACTATGCTTTGGTGATGATAAAATGTACTTATATGTATATATTTTACCTGTAGCCTCGATCTTGAACGGCGAGCATACAATGTGAGCACCGTTGTACTTGATACTCAAGTAGTAGAAGCCGGGTGCTAATGGAGTATAACGCACCTGTATGGCAAATTAATATTGTCATTATTATTATAAATTATTAAGTAAACCAGAGGGAGACTCTGTTATGTTACTCTGTTATGTGCATGGTACTGCTCATGTCTATAGGCAACGGTTACCATTTTCCATCAGGTGGGCCGTCAGTTTGTTTGCCATTCCAAGTTGAATAAAGTTTTATAGTGCTTAATGTATCCCAGTCACATGGATAGAATCGCGGGAATAAAACTAAATCCTATTAATATCATAATTTCGAGAGTTTATAATAACAGATGGATGGATGTTAATTACTCTTTTACGCAAAAACTACTGAACGGATTTGAATGAAACTTGGTACATGGATAGGTTAGCATATAGGATATTTTATGCCTTAACTCATATGAGAAAAGCCGTAACATTCAGCTAGTAGTAAATAAATTATTAAAAAATGAAAGTTAAGTTTCAAACTGACCTTGTAGCCCTCTTCAACTTCAGTACAGTCCATGGCCACCCTGGAGGGGCCATCCATGGTGACGGCCAGGATACCAGCGCCAGCGTTGCACGTGTCAATGATCAGATCCGTTTTGGCACCTGGTCACATAGATAAAATTTAAGTATTTGCCCACTGCTGGGAATATTTATTAAGATTATTTTCTAAAGAAGCCAATTTCAACTGAGGCAAAACCTATTACATTAATTAAAAATCTAAAATATAGAAAGAATTTTGATAAAATTTTTATGGAACCAATCTGTAAGTATTTCATATAAAAATTGAATTTTCCAAAACGATTTATAACTGAAGGAGTTAGTAAGCTGTTAATTAATGCATTCGATGATAGATTTTGTTAAAAAAATTCCAAAGAATATAACATACCGGTCTTAACGGATCCCAATCCTGGTCCGTGCGCGTGGACCGCTGCAGGATCAGCATCATCTTTACCAACCTGATGAGTAGTAGCTTTTCTTTAATATCCAATTTTTTAATTAAAATTAAATAAACACTTTCTCGTGCCTCTCGAAGGAATCCAAGTTATACTTGCCAGGAAACACAGATACCGGAACGATAGTCCGATGAAAGTACCAGAGGAAGACTTTGTACAAAAGTCGTTTGCTTGAACACCTCTGTCCCATTCGTGTTTCTACCGTAAAGCAATTGTGTTTACACGGCTGTGTTTCGGTTTGAAGAGTGGGATATGGTAGTGAATTTACAGAGGTAAAGTGGAATAACACCTGAGTCTCTCAGGAATGGCAACGCATGGGAGGTATCATAGGCAAAACAGTATAATCTGTTATGTCCATGCTGCTCATGTATATAGACAACGGTTACCACTTTCCATGAGGTGGACCGTCAGCTTGTTTGCCATTCTAAGTTGTATAAAAAAAAGTAGGCGCTCCAAATGTGACTATGTTTATACTACATCTATGCTCATTATCCTCAGCACCAATCAAACGTTGCCACTGCTAAGGATTAGCTCCATATTGTTTAATTTCACTGCCATATCGCACTCTTCAAGCCGAAATACAGCCATGCAAGTACAACTGCTTCACGGCAGAAATACTAGTGGGACAGTGTTTCCAAGCAGATAAATTTTGTACAAAATCTCCTTGTAGTAAAAAAAAATAAATCTATACGGAATATACCTTGATCCTCAATGGAGAAGCTGGGATGTGAACTCCATTGAACTTAACATTGATGTTGTGGACACCGTTCTCCCGCGGCATGAACCTGATGGAGTACTGGTCTCCGTCGATGTTCTGGATGAAGCAGTCGTCTGTCTTGCCCGACGGGGAAATAATCTAAACATACATGATCATTTTAAAAACTCAATTGTACTATTCCGGATATTTCTTTTTCTGGTATAATACCTGAGAGGTAACTAAACTTTAAATTCCATTAAATGTCGAAAATTAACACTATTATTAAGAGAATTAATTTTTCATAATTTCTACTTGTATCTATTAACTGTTGGGCATAGAACTAATCTAGAAATAACTGAAGACATATGTTCATTAGTTTAATATCAACCAATGAATTTTTTTTTAATTAAAACAATTAATATTAATTCCAATCCAAATAGTAAATATATTAAATTTTCGACAAACTTCTGAAAAGCGAAAATTCTCGATTTTTTCAACTAAACTTTCTACTCTTTGAAAGTTTTTCGTAAAAAAATTTAACAATTATGTTTTAATATAAAACTGACACTACACTTAGGTTACTTACACATGTTATTGTTATATACTACATATTAATAAAATTGCTTTACCAACAAACAGTTTGTTTAAGTCCATACAAAATTGTACTAAAACAAAAAAAAACAAATTTCAGTAAGTAATCATTACATCTATTTGTTTTTATATTATCCAATATTGCTCCAAAACTAAATAAAAACTAGGAAAAAATAAAGTACGATTTTCACAGGAGAGGAGCGAGTCCACATATTAATTTTTATATCGCATCGCAAACTTGTAACAATATTCATCGCCCGCCCGCTTTTATAAAATATTAAGCATGTGGCGCGATTTATTCGTTAGTCACGTGCCCGGTCAGTTTTATTGCGTTTTTTGTCCAGAAATTTTGGGGGGAGGCGCGCTGTGCGCGTGTGGTTGGAATACGTAGGCCCATCGGTGTTTTTGACCGACTTCAAAAGGGAAGGTTTTCGATTCGATTGCTATTGATTTTTTATTAGTTTATTATCTCTGACTATACATACCGATTTAGAAAATTATTTTTCATATAAAAGGATTTATAGAGATTTTAAAATGAAAATAAATGGTTGTGTTTCAACCACGATTGAAGTCGAAGATATTTTTTGTTGAAAAATCTTAAATTATGGTACTAGTAATATTTTGCTGATAATTTTTCCTCTGACCTATACTAAACTTGTTTTTAAATTCGGAAGGAAGTAGATTCCTAATTGGAATAAGTACAAAGTAAATAAAATGGGAAATCATAAATACGAAAATAGTTAAGGATAAAAAGTTGTGCCTACCCAACAATGAATTTGGATGCTTTAGACTATAAAGCGAACAATTGTACTTCAAAATAAATCAATACCTGTAAAAACAATATTCTTACAAATTAATGTATTTATCTATCCATTTATCTTTAATTAGTGTATTTAGATAGCTCAGCAATGGACAGATAAAAGCTGACGTGATTATGAATCAAAGACAAAATGAGTTTTTTAAATCCGATTGGTAGTTCCAGAGATTAGCGCATTCAAACAAACAAACTCTTTCCTCTTTATTATATACATTCTTAGTATTAAATTTAAATAATACCAGATTTGTGTATAAAACTTTATACAACGAAATAACACAATAGCAAATTGACCAAATCCAAAAAAAAAAGGAATTTACGTAAACCGTCCACGTAACGGTACAGTCGGCCATCGATCATAAATCAGCGTACAGTCAGCCGCGGGCAACATGTTCACACGATAAATCATCGTGACCCCAAGTAATACTATTTATTGGAAGACATATTGTCTGAAACTGAGGTGCCAAGAATCTGCAATCCGATGCAGCTGAGCATTACATATTTGTTTATTTAGACAGACAGATAGATAGATTATTACTATCTACACATATAATAAAACTTTAGAGATCATTATCTGTACATAGAAAAAAAAAACGCTAATAACCAAGTCAGGATATGTCAGAAGTGAAGTTTTTTTTCAAATTTCTTATTTCTCTGTCTGTTTCTACGAGCTAATCTCCAAGTGTTAGACCGATTTAAATGAAATTTTGCATGGTAGTACCATACACCGCTGATCAACATTTTAGACTTTTGATCACGTTTTTTTTAGTTAAAAACTATAGTAACTTATACAGCTTAGTACACAATCTATTTAACTATATTTTGACCTAAAGCAAAGAGTGAGAACGACACCTCTTCACTGCAATAAGGTTAAAACATTAATTGAAGAAAGAACAAACACCACGCGGACAAAGTCGCGGGCATCGGCTAGTAAATAATAATTACTGTTAAAATAAGCGACAATCAACATCAGTACAACAACAACGAAACAGTATACTCTGTTGTGTCCATGGTACTACTCATGTCTATAGGCGACGGTTACCACTTTCCATCAGGTGGGCCGTCAGCTTGTTTGCCATTCTAAGTTGTATAAAAAAAAAATCTCATTTTAATATTCAGTTCCATTAATCACTCGACGGAACAAGCTGATGCTAAAAATGTAAGTATATATGCACTAATTATATACACCATGCCATGTGGTCCCGGCATGGAATAGGCCACCCCTTCCTTTTCCGTGGGTGTCGTAAGAGTCGACTAAGGGAAGCCGAGGGATGGGCAGCAGAGTCCCTCTTAAAACATCTCTAAAAGCCTAACTGCAATTGCCAACCCGCCTGCGTGGCAACTACAGGCAAAACTCCACTTATGGGGAAGACTTATGTCCAGTAGTGGACACTTAACGGATAAAATAATAATATAATATATGCACTACTAAACGTGCGAAACCGGGGCGGGTTGCTAATTTATAATATTAGTGAGGATTGAAAAGCTAAAAAGTAATTTAAAAATTAACTGATATTCACTGGGGGGGGGGGGGAAGGGATTGTTAGTAATGGAGACTGAGAATCCCATTGCTAGCAATATACCCAACTAGGTCGACCTCCTCACGGTTCCCCCTGGAAACTATCATGGTTAATTCCTGATGAATTCATCAAGATGAGCTAACTGGCCTGTTTTCATTCTCATCGATCACACCTCACTGGTGCTCCGCCGGCGTATCCCGTTAGCGCAGGCGGGGTTACCATTCCATTTTTACCCATCAAAAAAAAAAACGGAGACTCACTCTAGCATCCAATTCTCCTTTAGCCCCATTGAATCTAATATAGAACTGCGCTGGCTTGTCCACTTGCGCCGAGTCTGGAAACTGTGCCACCTCCAGCAGGTACGCGTCTCCCACCGCCGGGGATATGTACACCTTGAAGGGTGAGTCAGGAATATGTTGCTCGTTGAACTTCAATCCGATACGGTATTCACCTGGAGACAATGTAGTTACATGGTAAATAATCCATTATACCATACCACTCACATATTATAACCAGACGGAGACTTTGTACAAAAGTCGATTGCTCGGGTACCTCTGTCCCATTCGTATTTCAACCGTAAAGCAGTTGTGTTTGCATGGCTGTGTTTCGGTTTGAAGGGCGTGAATATGGCGTGAATTTACTGGGTACGGAGGAATAACACCTGAGTCCTCAGGAATGGCAACGCATGGGAGGTATCATAGGCGAAACAGTATACTCTGTTATGTCCATGGTACTGCTCATGTCATGCTATAGGCGACGGTTACCACTTTCCATCAGGTGGGCCATCAGCTTGTTTGCCATTCTAAGTTGTATAAAAAAAACCGTAGCAGCCGTGTGGTCCCGGCATAGAATGGGCCACCGCTTCCTTTCCCGTGGGTGTCGTAAGAGACGACTAAGAGAACTTAATGGTTGAAAGATAGGTAGCAGCGTCTCTCTTAAAACATTATCAATAGCCTATCTGCGGTTGCTAACCCGCCTGCCAAGCGTGGCAATTACTGGCAAAACTGTGGGAGTCCTATGTTCAGCAGTGGACAGGTAACATCCGATATAATGATGACTAATGAGATAAATATAAAAGTTTGTTTGTTTTTTACCAGTTGGAGTCTTAACAACTAAAACATTTTACGGGAAATTTAGCATTTATCTTTAAGAGGGTTATTTTTTCAAATACAGAATATCAGTGTTTTGCTCTTTTAAGGGCAAAGCAATAAACTGAGTTGTGACCATTTTGTGTTACTATGGCACACGCATGAAGGAAGGGAAAGAAGGGAAATTGTTAGTTTATATATTTTGTTTTTTTTTTTTATTTGTGCTTTTTTATTTTCATTCTTTTATCTCTTTTGCTGTGTATTATGTATATACATTTTTTTTTATTGTAATTTATGTCTGTAAATAATGTAAATAAATTATCTATCTATCTATCTATCTACATTCAATTGCCTAATAAAAAGAAAAAAAATATATAAAATTGATATATTAAAGTAAACAGTCCAATTAACCGACAACCGGAACACATTAATACTCTAATACAAACAACAAACATACCGACAAACGCACCAATAAATTTGCACAGCGTTGCAAAAAGCCGACGAAAATGTTCTAAAAACGTGATTTACATCTTTTGGGTAAAAAAACTTTATCGGCAGTGGGACGTCAGTCAATCTGAATAACGGGCTAACGATGCCACCAATATTTCTTCCCAGGGTCCAACTGGATCTTGGGGTTTTACATTTGTCGTTATAGGGGTCCGTGTTGAAGAAACCCCATTTAATTTCTCATTCAACATATCGTTATGTCATTCAAACGAAGAGTTTCGTACCTCCAGTCAAACCGTTTATAATTACTCTTCTCCGGGGGGAAAGGGATTGTTAGTAATGAAGACTAAAAATCCCATTGCTAGCTATACGATCTGGTTGGATATATTATCCAACCAGTGCGACGTCTACGTGGTTCCCCCTGGAAACTATCATGGTTAATTCCTGATGAATTCATCATGATGTGCTAACTGGCCTGTTTTCATTCTCATCGATCACCCTTCACTGGTGCTCCGCCAGTGTATCCCGTTAGCGCAGGCATGGTTACCATTTCATTTTCACCCATCAAAAAAAAGTTACTCCTCTCCATCCAAAGGTTGCCTGGAAGAGATCGCTCTTAGCGATAAGGTCGCCCATTGTTTTCTCATTGTAATTATTTCTTGTATTGTTTGTATCTACATATAATAAGTTTACTATTGTAATCTTATGCTGGAAACAATAAAGAGTATCTATCTATCTATCTATCTAAATCAGCCATTAACTGTCCACCGCTGAACATAGCTCTGCCCCTTAAGCCAGGGTTTCTCCAGTAGTTACCACGTTCGGCAGGTGGGTTGTCAACCGCAATTAGGCTTTGGTGATGTTTTAAGAGGGACGCTGTTGCCCATCCCCTACCATTAAGTACCCTTGATCGCCACGTACATGTGACACCCACGAAAAATAAATGGCCCATTCTATGCCGGGACCTCACGGCGAATCTTATGATTATATATATATATATATAAAATTCTCATGTCACGGTGTTTGTTACCAAACTCCTCCGAAACGGCTTTACCGATATTTTTGAAATTTTGTGTGCATATTGGGTAGGTCTGAGAATCGGCCAACATCTATTTTTCATAAGGGTGGTATTATTTTTGATAAGGGTGGCCCACCCCATAATTTTTTTGTCAATTTTTGTAATTTTTATTTTATTATAATTTAGCATTGAAAAATACATACAACTTTAAATTTTCATTGTTTTACGATCATATATATATATATATATATATATATATATATATATATATATATATATATATATATATATATATATATATATATATATAATCATGCAGAATGCGTCAACACTTCAGTACCGAAATAAGTAACAAGCTACATATCAAATACAATGAGTAGCTAATTTTAATTTTAGTATTTCTAAAAATATATTGTTAACTTTACACTCATTAACATTAAATAATCTGTCCATGAATAATTCACAATTTCAGTTAAAAAATATTAAACAAGATTAGCGGAGACGAGTTTTTTTGAAATGTTGACATTTTTTATTAGCACTCAAGGTTGACTTTCTGTAGGTTAAGTCTCGCGCGTCACAACCGCTTTGTAAATAGGTTTTGTTACAATAACCATTTACTATCAGGCGGGGCGTATACGTTGTCATCTTTGTACAAACACATTTTGACCCGATTGCTCTGCCAAACTAAATCATTTAAAAAAGCCGGTCAAGTGTGAGTCGGACTCGCGTAACGAGGGTTCCGTACAAAATCATTAAGTTTAGTTTTTTTTTGTGAAATAACTAAAAAATTATAATTTTCGGATTTTTCCTTTACTTGTGGTACATGATATTGCTTCTTGCCAAATTTCATGATTCTAATTCAACGGAAAGTACTCTCTAGGTTTTAATTCCCTTTGCGAATGTCAACATATGCGATATAAATGGAATATAAACGGCCATATTTTTTGATTGCGTCGTTTTAGAAGCTTCATTTTCTCACTGCTTTAAGAAACTGCAGATCTGAGTATATAATATTAATTTCAACTTGATACCTCCACGCGTTCTTAAGAAAAAGGGTCTGACACGCGAACGGACGGACAACGAAGTGATCCTTATAAGGATTAATAATAATAATATTAAACTCTTTATTGCGCACAATAGAGACGTATACAAGGAGTATTTATACAGAATGTGCATATACAAAAGGCGGCCTTATCGCTGAAAGCAATCTCTTACAGACAACCTGGCATAAAGAATGGATAAGTACAGAGAGAAAGGTAGATGGCGCTAGTCAGACACAGTAAATATATACAAGGGTTCCGTTTTTAACTTTAGAGATACGGAACTCTAAAAAAGGTAGCCAGTGCCATTCGGCATGGTGTAAAGAGTTTAACGATACCCCATACATTCAATTCTGTTTAGAAGTTATGATGAAATAAACACTTTCCCATGAACTTTGAAAATATTCCTTTTTTCACTACTTGTATAGCCTACAAATATATATTATATTTTTTAAGGCTATAATATAATAAAGATATGATTCACTGTATGGTCCCGGCGTAGAATGGGCCACCCCTTTTCGGTAGGAATCATAAAAGGCGACTAAACGAACCTTATGGTCGAAGGATGGGCGGTAGCGTTCCTTTTATAAAAATCATCAAAAGTCAAACTGCGGTTGCCAACCCGCCTGCCAAGCATAGCAACTACTGGTAAAATCCTCCAATAGTTAACTGCCATAAGGAACGGCCTTATGACAGTCTTATGGATAAGTCCGCTATTGTATAGTAAATCTTTTAATGTGTCCCATATAAATTATGTACAATAAAAATATTACAATATAAGACAATACAGCATATAAGGGGGAAAGGGATTGTAAGTAATAGAGACTGAGAATCCCATTGTTAGCAATATACCCAACCAGGTCGACCTCCTCGCGGTTCTCCCTGGAAATTATCATGGCTAATTCCTGATAAATTCATCATGATGGACTAACTGGCCTGTTTTCATTCTCATCGATCACCTTTCACTGGTGCTCCGCCAGCGTATCCCGTTAGCGCAGGCAGGGTTCCTATAGCATTTTCACCCATCAAAAAAATACAGTATATAGGGGAGTCCTATCTTCAACGGTAGACAGATAACAGCTGATGTGATGATGATGATATGATGATGATGATGACGACGATGATGATGACAAAATTTAAAATTGTGTTTCACATCATTTTAAAAAGTAAATAAGTTTTTAATTAAAATAGTTACGGAACCCTCTTAAAATATATCCAGCTTATACTAGGCCGTTTTATTTTCCATATGAGACGGTGCATCACGGTGGCCGCGCCGTCGTTTTCGGGTCATTTACATGCGAACAGCAGTTTTTGACTATGTTTTTGTTGATTCCCTAAAAAATAACTTTCAATTTTTTACATGGTCCCGGTTTATTGTGTGCGATCAGGCCGGTTCCACCTTAACTGTTTGATAAAGCTATTAAACGATTACTTTAATCGATTTAAAGTTAGTGTAAAATAATTATTTTACAATATAAAATGTTACTTTCATTTAATTTTATATCTTATTTATTAATATTATAAATGCGATATTACAAATTTTACTTTATAGATAGTACTTAAATGTTCATAATCTGAGTCAATTAGATTTAACAATTCAAGATATGGTTTATTAGTGTGCCAAACATTCAAATCCGTTCTCGACTATTTGAGTGAATAATAATCATTATAAAACAATATATGATAAATGCTTGAATCGATGATTGCAAAAATAGATCAAAATCGATTTAAAATCCGTATGAGATAAATATGGAAGTAAACCCAAGAATTCAATTGCGAAATTAATTATCAAAATCGGTTAACAATTTATTTATTTATACTTCACTGCACACAAAGATTAATATAAATTATTTTGATC